AATAGTGTTATGTATTTTTACATGAAGCACATTTATTTTTTTAGCAGTTAGGATTCCACTACTAGTAAACGAGTTACAACTACATGATAGGACTGATGGTATTCACAACAAACATTAGGATACAAGCCTCAGACTTCTAACAGACGAGGAAACGTACATATGAGAAAGTTGACATGTGTTAGTATAATTTCTCTCGATAATATACTTGTTTTCACATGTGCGCATATTTCAGCACATGTAGCAGTAATATTTTGTGTCCAAATCTGTCTACAAACATTCATTTTAGATTAGTCAACAATATGTGAAATTATTTTGGTTCACTGTCAATCTAATTTTTTGAGAAAAAATGTAAAACACGAATAAAATGCCATTTTAGCAACAGTTTCCATAGACCACAATTTAAAAACCCACTAAAAATATTATCAAATTGTAACACTTCTGAACATCAAAAATGACATTTTAAGACACAATAGAAAATCTTGTCATATTGGGATATATCCGTTCCATAAGAAACAATGGTAAAATGCGATTAAAACAGACAATAAATGTACCGTATTTTATTTATTGATTTTCTCTGAACTGAGCACGGTGACCTCCATATTTTTATTTTATTTAGCCCTTGTAACATGATATATCAAACAAAGAAAATGACAATAATTTTACTTATGTGTTGTATACTGCTTTTACATTGACCTTCAAAAAATTGTACAGAAACCAAATACATCATTTGTACGTATGCACGACTGGAAGTAATTTTCACTGAAAAGACATTTTGGCTGTTTTGTCCTGAAGTTTATTTTCATTGATTTTTGATGAGTTGAATGTAAAATATAGGACACTTTAATTTACAATGAATCAGCCCTTCAGCGAAATTAGCAAAAATAAATTGCAAATGAAAGTAAACTAGTTTACAAAAGACAGATTTGTTACATGAGAATGATATATGTTTCACTGGATATGACATTTCATGCACATATGTGTTTTGGGTTTAGTGTCGTCAATAAAATTAAATGATTTAATTTATATATACGCATTTGCTTTGCTTTCATTTACACAAAATTACAAGTTGACAGCAGTTTAAAATTAGTACTGTATTTGTTTTATTAGAAGCACATAAAGCGCACATATACCCAAAATTTGCATAATGAATTATTAAAATATGAATTATTAAAATATTGACCATAAATGCATACATACTTAAAAAAAGTATATGGTACATGTATGTGCAAATACAGTAGTTTGAATGACTTTGAAACAATATTCAAAAGTTTAGCAAATGAAATTTGAACAACCGTTTTGATCACCAAAATCCAAGCACACTGAATATCAAAGAAATCTGTATATAACACAATAATGTGTAAACAAAGCAAATATTGAAAAGACATTCATTTGACGATGAAAAACAAAAATACCCATCATTTATTTCATAGCGATACACAAATATTTCATTCTTTGTGGTGTCTCTTGAAAAACAAAATCATCATCAATACAGTAATTCCATCTGCACACATTATCACTTGACTTGTATCGTCCATAAATCAACCGTAAACATTATTGTGTTTTAAGTTTTCAAATCGGATGGATAGAGCATGATTGTTTTAGAATACTAAAAAAAAAAATGCAACTACCGTATATAGTGTATAGAAAGTTTAAAAACCTGAACTTTAAAATTCCTTCACCAAAAATTTTTTGTTTCAAAAAATTATTTGGATAACCCATCTACTTCATTAAAATTAATTGAAGAAAAGAAAATATCATTGATTAAAATGTATACCAGTAATTTCTGAGGTATAAACAACATTCCAACAAACATACTTCTTTTTTTGAAAATTGGACTTCAGTAGATTTTTTTTAGAGCTAAAAATTTGCCATCAAGGAAGTACATACAGCCACAAAGCTTTACATAGATAACATCACCATTGAAGGGTACATAGATAACATCACCATTGAAGGGTACTTAGAGAAAACATTATTTATGACAACACTCATGATTACTGTGAACAGTACCTTTTTAAGGTAATTAAAGATAAAAATGGAAAAACAAAGAAAATGCTGGTCATCAGTATAACATATTTGTCATTATCATCATGACAACTACATCCATGGCAACAACACAGTGAGTCTGAATCTATAATGTTGACAGAGAGGAATACCAGTTTTTCTGTGCAACATTTTGCACATTTTTTTTATAATTTTCTTTGTTAATTTCCTATTAGTTACAAGTCCTGATCGAAATTTTGAGGAAATATAAAAAATTCTCATCTCTTCATGTTATGAATGGTGTCAAAGGTTATCTGCCCTCAACTGAAATATTGACTCCCCACCAGAAAAACAAAAACAAATTAAGAAATTGTAAATTTTCAGACAAATTATTTTAATCCTGATAATGCCCAATAAACAAACTGCACAAAACACAGATTTAATTTTTTTTTAAAGATTCTGTTCTCCATCTTTTCCAAGTAAAATAATCAATGGACGAAACATTATCTGAAATTAAAATATTTTGAACACATAGCTGAAAAAACAAAACTCAAAAAATAAATTTCATTTTAATATACACTGTATTGCATTTTCAGTAAAACATGGGAGTTTCCAAAAGCAAGAGAGATTATGCCATGTCGGTATAAAACTTTCTCAACTAACTAGGAAGTCACTACAATTGTAACCAAATGAGACTAAGGAAGAAAAAAGGTGAAATACTCCCTAGCTTCTTCATATTAGACCCAAACTACATAGTACCAACTAGATCAGCACAAATATGCATGAAACTGCACGAACAAATACATATATTTTTTAAAACAATTTACATTTTACTTCTAAAATAGGATAAAACAGCAAATAAAAAGAAGCAACATATCTCTGGAAGAAAGACATAGTAATGAATGTTAACATGGCCTAATATTATTAAGGTAATGCTATAAGTTTTATTTTGTACCAAATAGACATTTTCCGTTCGTTACAGGATTTTCGTCAAAATGTTTGGAAAATATTATATGGCTTATTTTTCTTAAATTTGACTAAAGCGATTAAATAGAATCTTGGACAACGAAGTCACAGGGGTGTAGATTATCCTGGAAATCAGTGCATCTTTCCTTTGAAATGACACTGACCACATCACGCACATCGTTGTCAAGGTTACTGAAGTTAACTATGGAATCGTAAGAGTCTTTTATTCCATCCATGTTGTTGATTTCATGTACATTGTGCTGAGATGAATTGCGACTGGAAGAGTTATCATCTTGTGGAGCCTTTGTATTGCGCGATCCCTGTAAATTACTGTTGTCTTGAGAGACATCAGCCACGTTATTGACGTTAGTGTCGTCTATATCCAAAGAATTGATTTGACCAACTAGATTGTCCAAAACTGCTTCAACCAAAGTGACTTCAGAGGGTTCATCACTCAAGCTGTTGCAATTATTATCGTAATTACGTCCCCACTTTACTTGGCTGGTTTCCATCTGAGGAGCATTTCCAGGAACAAGTTCCGGGAAATCAGCCATTTCGTCTGGCTCAATTGCATCATCAAACTGTCCACTTTCAACTGGGAAGGCACTTTTCAGTTTCTCTTCTTCAACCATTGAAAGCACTCTTTTTGGTCTTGGTTGGGTTGAAAGATCGTCAAATTGTTCCTATGGCCAGAAAAAGAACAATCATTTTGATACTTAATTACCACATTACCACAATATTAGAAACCACATTCCTAATTGAAGCCACACCCCCCTTTTTTTTAAAGCAATTTAGAGCATATGTATTGTTGACATAGTGAAACCATCCAAACTACACCGAAGACCAAAAATAACTGTCAATTTGGTAGTTTTTTTTTCCATATTACTTAATAAATCGTCATCACTGGCAAGTTACACTATCAGACAATGCATACATGTACATACTTTCTTTTTTGTTAATGCCTCAATGATAGCCGACATTTCACCAACAGTAGCAGGAGCAGTAAGCCCTAACTGAGAAAACTGAGTGAAGATTTCCGGAGAATGCTTCAAAGGTTTATTCTGTAACAAACAAACAAACACTAAGTGGTTAAAGTGGAAGAGAGAAACACTCTTCCTGAGTGATATGGCACTTATCGATACTTTAATTTTGGCAATTTAAAGTTTTGGTAAATTTGTTCTAAGAAAATCGATTGACATAAAACTGACATTAAATGATGTTTTTATATTTTATCAAACAAGCAGCCTATCGGCTGAGATAGCTCCGCTGTTAGCAATGCACATGGCAATTAAAGAACAGAAGATATCATTAGAAAATGAACAAATCTGAGAGAGGTCCACATGTAGTACCTATATGTATAATATATCAAAGCAATTGGACTTGCGGTTTTCAACAAGAAGTCGAAAATATCACTTTTTACCAAAAATTACAAAAATATTCACCGAAATTAGAGAATTAAAGATATCATTACAAAATGAACAAATCTGAGAGAGGTCCACATGTAGTACCTATATATGTAATATCAAAGCAATTGGACTTGCGGTTTTCAACAAGAAGTCGAAAATATCACTTTTTACCAAAAATTACAAAAATATTCACCAAAATTAGAGAATTAAAGATATCATTACAAAATGAACAAATCTGAGAGAGGTCCACATGTAGTACCTATATATGTAATATCAAAGCAATTGGACTTGCGGTTTTCAACAAGAGGTCGAAAATATCACTTTTTACCAAAAATTACAAAAATATTCACCAAAATTAGAGAATTGAAGATATCATTACAAAATGAACAAATCTGAGAGAGGTCGACATGTAGTACCTATATATGTAAATATCA